GTATAATCATTGCGAATGGTGGGTCTTATTGCATTATTCTTTTCACCTCTTCAGTACACGGAGAATAAAAGTTTTGCTGAGGATCTCACTGAGGGCAAGTTTGGGTTTCCAGTCATACACGCGGTGCGTACGCAGAAACAGGACAAACAGGTTTTGCGTAAGTTCTTCGAGCTAACCTCGCTACGGGTCTTTATTGCTCATTCAACTGTTTTTCTACCCAGACATTTTGCGTCAGCGCACGCACGACATTGAGGTCAAGAAATACTGTATTAGCTTGCTGGAAAAACTAGGCAGCTTTCAATACACTCGCAAAGTGCTCAAAACACTCGACGTGGAGGCGCGCGCCGAGGTTCTTACTAAATCTTGCTTGTAATCCTTTGCAATCTAACTTATGTTATGTTCCGATTGGCTTGACAGGTGGCACGTCTGGGCGGTAATCCCTATATGGATAGGCTGCTCAATAAGCTGTTGTCCTGGAAGTGCAGCGACAGTGCCAGCATCACGCAGTCGAATCAAATCAATCACAACAATGTCACACGCAGCCCCAACCAGAACACTCTCCATTGTAATTAACAGCCAAAGAGGCAGAAGAGGGAGCAGTTGTGAATAGCAAATGGCAGCGCCAAAGCCCATGCCAGAGCCGCCTCCTCTTTTGCTGCTAATCCAAAAGCAACGCAACAGCCACAGCAGCAACAACAAGAACAACAACAACATCGAGCAGCCTGCTTTAGTGCGCCTCTGTTGCGTTTTCTGCAGAAACTGAAAATTTTCTAATAATTTTCTTATGTACTTGGTTCACTTTGCCTCCCAAAGCTGCTACAGAGCAAATGGTTTGGATTTATTTGAACACAAAACTTAGGAAATGATTGATTTATTGATTGATAGAACCAACACAGCAGCAGCCTTACAAAAAATGTTAAGCCAAAAGTTAATTGATAAGCCAAGCTTATGAAGAGCTAGCGAAAAGCCATAGCACAGCTTCCCATGAATTTGTTTGTTTTTATATTAGGTCCTATATGTTATTTTGGATTAAAAGGTAAGTATTTAGTTGGTAATTATAGAAGGTTCCTTCATTTTGACTGTTGTATTTCTAAATGTATTTTGTATGTATGTACTTCATTATGCAAGCAATTTTTTCTAAACTTTCTAAATGTCTCATTATTCACTTTGTATCGAAAACATGCTCGAAACTAAATGTGCACTTCCTTTATTGACGTTGTTCCATTTTACATTTGTTAAAAAAAATGTTCAAATATTATACAAATACAACAGAATACAAATCGTATGCATACAAATATTTATACGTATGCATTAACTAACAAATTGTTAACGTTTTAAGCAACAAAAAAACTTTGAAAACATATTTAAATGATACAAGAAAAATGTTAAAATGCACTGCACAGCAGATAATTTTTTGCACTATATATACATATATAATATATATTTTTATGGTATACATGGCACGAAAATAAAACTACTACAAATGCTGAAGAGATTTATTGTGAAAGAATAGGATGCAACAAATAGCCGAGAATTTATTGAGCACGCCAAAATGCACCTCGTAATAACAATGTGCGAATATAACATACATATATTGTCATACACAAAAGTATCTTTGAAATATTTAAATAAAAATATTGTATTTATGCCAAGATTGAAGGAATACATGCATGAGGTATATAATAACTCATAAGTATATATTTTAAATTCAGGTTTAGTGTTTTTATTTAATATATTCTATACATTCTTTTATAAGATCTTTATTTATTAATACGCTTAAGCTACGTATCCTGCTCAATCATATCCATTAGCTGCAAAAACTCCTGGGACGTAGCATCTACTTCAGCTACAGGCTCAACATACTCCTCGTATTCTGCATCGGCATCATCCTGAGAAATTTACAAAAAAAAATTAACATAAAATATATTTTGGAATTGATTAACTCACCTCGAAGCCAAAACAGTTATTGGCATTGATCTTGGGCTCCCGCTTGACCACAACTTCGCTATCATCGTTGACTAGCTGGACGACCATAAACTGGTCATCGTCACCTTGTAGCTCTACGGTAAATTCGTTTGCATCCGGCTCCTCCTTGATACGGAATGTGCCGGCTTGAGTGGTTAGTTCTCGGTGGACACGTGGAGCTCTTAATTGGCGGTTTATAATAATTGGTTTACTTGACGAGCTCTGCTCGCGTTCTCTTATTACGACAGTTTTGTTTGCCTTTCTTGTTCTTAAGGTGGGTGCAGTAAAAGTTTCCTCAACGACTTCGCTGGGCTCTTCTTCCTCCTCATCTACTTCCTGCAACTCTGTGAGCTCATACTGTTCGTCGATGTCAATAGAAATGGCATCGCCCTTGCCAAGTGCCTCAATATCGGTGCCATTGACTAAAGTCACAATGCTGCCGTCTGGCTGCAGACGAACGCTACGTCCAAGTTTAAGTTTAAGCTTTTCCTCGCGCGCATTCAGCGTATCATCGTGTGTTTCCATGTGACGCATCAGATTACCCTTGTGTGTGAAGACACGGGAACAGCTGGGGCATGAGTGCATTTTTTCACGCGGCTCCGGCGGCTTGTAGTCCTCGTTGTGCATTAGATTTACATGACGACGCAGCAGTTGACGTTGCCGGAACGCTTGTGAACACAAGTCACATTTGAAGGGCTTCGTGTCCGTGTGTATGAGCATATGCGAGTCCAGATGCCGCTGAGACACCGAAGCGTAGCTACAGAGGCTGCAACGATAGCACTTCTCACCCTCGTGCGACTTAATGTGCAGCTTATACTGATAGCGATCGGGCAGCTCCTGGCCGCAACGCTTGCAGATGAGTGGCTTATCCGAGGTGTGCATGTTAGCCATGTGGGTGCGCAGGTCAGCCTTGCGGCCACACGTGGTCGGACACAGGGTGCACTGAAAGACTGGCTTGTCCACCACGCTGTGGATAAGTTTGTGTGCCTTAAGGGAGTTGGACTGCGTAAAGCGGGACTTGCATATGTCGCATTGATACTTCTTTTCGCCAGTGTGTATGACCAGGTGACGCTTCAGCTTAAACATGTCCTGCGAAGCGTAAGTACAGTGCGGACACTGGTATGGACGCTCGCCTGTATGGCAAGTCATATGGCGGCGCAGCTTTGTTAACTCAACGCTGGCATAGCTGCACTCCGTGCACTTGTGCGGCTTCTCCTTGGTGTGTTTGTAACGTGTATGTCGTATGAGCTCTCCGCTGGTCGTGAAGGCGCTCTCGCACAGCTTGCACTTGTGCGGCTTGTTGCCCATGTGTGTGTTCAAATGATTGACCAGACCCATGTTGGACTTGAAGCCACGCTCACAGATCGAACACTTGAATGACAGTTCCGAGTCGTGAGAGCGAACGTGGCGTGATATTAGGAATTTCTTATTGGTCGTATAGCTGCAGTGGGAGCAGGCGTACTTTTGCGAACCAGCCGAGTTCGTTGCCACCGGCTTAAGCTTGTACTGATTGCCGCTGAGCACAAAGTCAACATCTGATCTGGCGGACATGTTGGCTGCATTGTCGTCAAATTCATAGACCTCATCGTCAGAGTTATCTTTGCTCGCAGTTGGATCGTCGGTTTGATTAGTAGTATTTGCATCATTTTCCGCGACAGTTAGCTCCGATTCGTCAAGAGAAACGGAAGATGCATCAACGACACTCGGATCATCCGCCAGCTCTTCGAATTCCACAACTTTTTTATTAAAGGACTCCGGCTCAGATTTTGTGACCTTAGCTGAGGTTTTCGTGTTTGCGGAACGTAGATATGCTTTGGATGTGCTGACGGTTACTGAAGTTGTCTTCACAGGCGTTCTCTTTGGAGGAGCGGGGCGTACATTAATTGCTTTAGGCGTTCTTTGGGGAGTTGCAGCCGGCTTGGGTTTGGCTGGACGCAGATTAATGGCTACGCAAAAGAAGAAATGGCTATGAAAGCGAATAACGTGGTGACCAAATCCCCTACAAACCTTTGGATGCTGTGCTAGTGGCAGCACGCGAAGCGCTGCGTATTGATATAGCTCCTGTTTCTGTAGTGTTTGAGGTTGCTTGTGGCTTGAGTTTCTTTTTGAGCTGCTGTTGTTTTCTTGGTGTGGTTTTTATGTAACAGTTGCCTTCGTCGTCAATAAAATACTTGTCATCGTCATCATCCTGGTCCTCTTGTTCTTCTTCCTCCTCGGCATCATTGTCCACGCCGTCACCATTTGTCTTGGCATCCTTGGCATCAACGTTGCCTTCCTCGATTTCCTTGTGAAAGTTGATTAAAAAGGACTGCAAATCCTCCGAATCTGAGTCGCGCGTGCGTTTTGACATTTTAGCTGCAAGCATTGTCAATTTTTATAAATTTAGCGCCAAAAACGTTGGTGCTGGTGGCGACCTACAGCGGACATAAAGCGTCCAGCGACCCCAAGCGGCTATTGATTTCTCGCAGGGCCAAGCCTTAACAAATCTATCAATCAAAGCATATCTGTACTTTTATTGCTTAACTTACCTTGCTTAACACAGCTCTTATATTAGGCAAACTTTACTCACAAATTGAGTAAGATGGACAATTGTTTTGTTTTTAATAATAAACTTTACTTTTAGTGCAAAGAATTTCCGTCAGAGGCGAAACAACAGCAGCTGCGCAAAAGATGGCGGAATGGCATAGCGTTGCCACCGTTCAGCAATAGTTGCTAACAGTGCCATTTTGAGTATAGTATGCTTTTTGAGATAACATTTTGCTTGGCGCGTGAAATTAGGTAAGTTGTCAAAAAACATTCTAATTTATGAGGGATAAATAATATAATTCCAATACAACAATAACACTCATTTGTTTTGCGGCTTTATGAAATGGGTAAGCAATTCTTTACGAATTTGCGGTTAGCGCTTTTGTCGATAGTGCTGGCTCGTAGATACCCTGCTTCTGCTTGATGCCGTAGATACCCTACTTTATAATGCCTAGAACTTTAGGCCCTTATTTGCTTTACTTCAAAATCAAACATGTTACGGAAAATAGTATAGAACCCAAAACAAATTTTATTTGGCGTTATTATAAGTTACATGTGTGGAATTTTTACATATTGCTTATCTCCAATATTAATTATTAATATTATCGTTTTAAAGTTTAAATTCAAAGTAAAAGTTAGTTGCATAAATCTTACCCACGTACATGTAAAAGTGTCCCATAAAACTGATGTCCCTTTAGCCCCATGCGAACATTTACTCTTAAACTTCATTCTCATACTAAATATCAACGTATCAATAAATGCTGTCGAAAGAAACAACGTTAGAAGAGCCACCCAATAACTTTTGATTATTATTAAATATTTGTTTTCAACATTGATGACGCCCGAATACTCACATACTAAGCCGGTTGGGTTAGCCCGCATCATTTCTGTGTACTTTAGGCATAACAACTTTAGTATGAGAAAGAGATTAAGTTTAATATGCGTATTGGTGGTTTTTAACTACATATTTATGAGCCGCTACGGGAGATTGCATTACAAAATTTTGATTTGTTGTTTTGAAAAATACGTACGTTAGGAAAGTCCTCATCGAACCCTACGGAATCAACACAATCCTTTATCAGCTACTGCTGCTGGTGGTGCTGCTGCTTGGACATACGTACCAATTTGTTGCTAATGCATTTCTAACGATTATAACAATACGCATACATACCAAACCAACAAACACTCCCAATGAATAACCCAATCGGGCGGTTTAGACGACGAATACGTACCCAAATCTATGTTATGAACGTATATCGGGTATGTCTATCACATACTCATGTCTGTAATTAGCGAGATCCCTAGCATTTCGAATTGGCTAGAGGGTGGACGTTTGTTTGTTTTTTAATGAATTATGCACTCAATACGTACCCAGAGCTTTACGGCTTTTAGGCTGCAAAGTGACTTCAAGTAGAAAAACGCTTTAAGGTTACAATTTATAGTTTGAAAGAGAGTGAGAGAGAGGCTTACCCTAACGGGCCGACAATACTCGTACAGCAATACACAGGGGGCCGACACGCCCCGCAGCCGGGACCGTGCTGAGAGATATTATATAGCTCAATTTGGTTTGTTTTGTTGTATATTTGTTTGCTGGGCACAATTTGGACTGTAAAATTACTGGTTACTCGGGACATTGGCTCTACGTACCGTACATTTACAACTCAACTTGCCGGGCCTGTCAAACTATTAAATTTTGATGTATTATTTACTTAACAATTTGTTTAGTTTCAGCTTACAGTTTTTGTTTGTTTGTTTGTTTTGTTTGTCTGTTTTTCTGTTAGTTAACACGGATGAAAATCAAAGATAAAGATTAATAATATATTATAAAAATATCTATATTGCTGTCTAGCTGTGTATTTAAGTCATTTATTAATTAAATAATAATGCAATTAGTTAAATTTTTGCTGCTCTATTGTTGGTTGGTATTTTTTGTTGTTGTTTTGTTTTTGTTTTTGTTTTCTGTTGTGGTTGGTTATTAATGCTACGTACGTGCGCTGGACACTGCCGTGTGGAACTGGACTCCGTTGCCTCTCCACATATCTAGCGGCGATGGCGTTCGCGGGAGAAGGAGCGTCGCCTGTTGCCAAAATTGTTGTTATTAAAGTTGCGGCGATCGCGTGGCGAACGATCTCTCGAGCGGGAGCGGCGTCTATCATTGCGACGATCATTCGGGCCACCGCCTCCGCCTCCACCTCCACCGCCTCCACCACCACCAAAACGTCCTCTGTCGTTGCGCATGTTACGATCTCTATCCCTTCGCACATCACGCTGATCCCTATTATCGCGCTGATCTCGAGCGTTGTTGTTGTCGGGGCCACCACCACCACCACCACCACTTCCTCCTCCACCCCCTGCTCCTGCCCCTCCTCCGCGTCCAAGGCCGCGCCCATCAGGTTCGCGTCCACGGGGAGCGGCTCTTTCGCTCTCAACTTCTCGAACATTGGCCCTCTCAGCGCTTCTATCGCTCGATCTGTCATTAGTTTGTTTCTCTGCATCGCGCTGTCGCTGACGCTCTCTGGATCGAGAGCGATGAACACGCGATCGTCGGTCCAGCTCGCGTCCACCTACAAAGTACCGATTTCTGCCTCTTCCGTCCTCTTCGCGATCTGGTATCTTACCCGAGCGCTTTAGTTCTGCCTTGCGCGGTGCTGCTGTTTTTTCCAGCTCGATGAGCTTCTCGCGGATGGTGAGAAAGCCCAGATGCAACTTACCACCAAAGTGGTCCGCCAGACGGATATCATTGTCGTGTATGCCCAAGTAGGCGGAGCACACTTCGCAGACGCGTAGCTTCTGTTGCTGGTAGGTTGAGGCTGGCATTGAGGTTCTGTATTCGTGCTCGGCTTTGATCTTCTTGCCGCGAAGCTCGTCAATTTCCTTCATCAGTTCCATGCTGTCTTCCACTTCGCCAGCTTCTCCAAGTGCCTCGGCCTTGGCCAGCTTTTTGCCGATCTCCTCCGCCAGACTGTGGACTGCATTTGCCTTCTCGGCCACCTCGGCCGTCAACTCCTCCTGCGTCTCCTTCAGCCGTTGCTTAGCCGAATCTGTGCGCCGATCACAATCCGCAATGAATGCTTGCAGATGCTCCATGGCCTCGATATCGTAGTAGTAATCACGCGACTTGGACGCACTTTCGTAATCTGCACGAAAAGCCAGATCATGCACTTTGGGACACTCACCAAGATCCATGCGCGTGGATGCCAGGATGTCGTGTGGGCAACAGTCCAGTAGAAAAGACTTGCAGACGCGTGCATCGGAGAATTTGAGGCCGCGTCCATCGTCGCCGTTTCGCGTGGTTCCCATCAATTGGTCCAGCATAGCACGCATCTGATCTGTTGCCGACATTTTGTTGCTCGGCGCGCTCATTCTGCAGGCCGACTTTAATATTTTCAATTGCTTTTTTCAACTTAACTTGTGCTAGTGAAAAATAATAAGGCGAGTTGAACGGAAAAGTTCGATTGAACGATTCACTAAGCGGAACGAAAAACTGAGTCCCTGCTGTTAATAACAGTTCATTGGGTTCATATTTTTCTGCCACCTTGTCAATGTTTGTTTTATGTTATTTACTTTTTGTGAACGTTAATATTCAAAACAGATTTTGTTCACATAATTTACTGTGAAAACCCCTATTTGCTAGTTTTTAAGCAGAGAGATTTCACACAGGGATAGTTCAGGCATAAAATGGTGAATGAAACTAGTATTTAAATGTTATTAAAATGGTAACAGGCTCAAAGAACTGGTTTTTAACTATAAATAGCCATACAATAACAGAACAGTTACGATTAGAGCTGTACACAACAAGTATCGGTACTCGAATATCATCCCTGTAAAGATTGTAATTGTGTTTTCGATATATCGATGCGATAAACGTTTGCAGTGGCTTTTTGTTGTTTATTTCGTTGGCGTAATTTTTATTTTAAAAATTAATTATTTTGGATTAAAATATAATGTCCGATGACGACGATATCCAGTACATAAAGCGGCAGCGCACCTTGCATTATGGCTCGCTGGAAGAAACAGAACGCAAGCGGCAAACCACCGCGGCGTCCTCTGTTGCCGGCACAACGCCGGCCGCAGCAACAACAACTACCGCCCAGCTGGAAGACATTGATTCGGACGAGGACTATGAGGAAACTAACAAAAAGTCCAATGCCACAAAAGTGGCCATGCCACCGCCCACAGCCGCGTCGCTTGCTAACAAAATAGACGATGACTACTTCGATCTGGAGGGCGAGATGGAGCGCGACAAGGTGGCGCTCCTAGAGGAGTTCGAGCGAAAGAAGCGAGCTCGCCAAATAAACGTATCCACAGACGATGCCGAGATTAAGAACAATCTTCGGCAGTTAAACGAGCCAATTTGCTACTTTGGCGAGGGCCCAGCGGAGCGACGTAGGCGACTCAAGGAGCTGCTCGCCAGCCTGGGCGAAAATGCCATTAAGCAAAAGCAAACTGAGGAAGAGGAGCGCAAGCTGCAGCAAAGGGAGCAGGAGGCCACCTGGTACCATGAGGGACCCGAAACACTGCGTGTGGCACGCCTTTGGCTCGCCGACTACTCCCTACCACGTGCTCGCGATCGTCTGGAGCGCGCTCGGGAGGCGCTCGAAGTGCCGAGTGCCACGCGAGCCGGTCGCATGGTGGAAATGCAAAAGAAGCTACAATCCCTGGCGCCGCTGTGCTCGCAGGTCGGTGACACGCGGCCCGTCAGCAGCGCTGCGTTCAACGAGGACTCTTCTCTCCTGATGACTGCCTCGTGGTCGGGACTGTGTAAGCTATGGAGCGTGCCCGACTGCGAGCTGAAGCAAACGCTGCGCGGTCATGCCAGCTACGTGGGTGGCGTGGCGCTGCGGCCGGGCGTCAAGCTGGACGAGCAGAATGTCGTGGCCATGGCCTCGGGCGGCCACGACGGTGCCGTCAAATTGTGGGGCTTCGGCAACGAGGAATCCATTGCTGATATAACGGGTCACATGCCGCACCGCGTGTCCAAAGTGTCGTTTCATCCATCAGGCCGTTTTCTGGCCACCGCTTGCTACGATTCCTCGTGGCGTCTGTGGGATCTGGAGCAGAAGACTGAGGTGCTGCATCAGGAGGGACACGCCAAGCCGGTGCACTGCCTCAGCTACCAATCGGATGGCAGTGTCCTGGTCACCGGCGGCTTGGACGCTTTCGGACGTGTTTGGGACCTGCGCACGGGTCGTTGCATCATGTTCCTTGAGGGCCATTTGGGCGCCATATTTGGCGTGGACTTCTCGCCGAATGGCTTTCATATAGCCACCGGTTCGCAGGACAACACCTGCAAGATCTGGGACCTGCGTCGTCGCCAGCCCGTCTATACCATACCAGCGCACACAAATCTCATATCGGACGTGAAATACCAGCAGGATGGCGGCAGCTTTCTGGTCACCTGCTCCTACGATTCGACAACGAAGATCTGGTCGAACAAGACGTGGCAGCCGCTGAAGACACTGCAGGGCCACGACAACAAGGTCATTTCCGTCGATGTCTCCCCCAACTCGCAGTACATAGCGACGACCTCGTTCGATCGCACCTTCAAGCTGTGGGCGTCGGATAGTTGATTTCCATACATACCATATATCATGCATACATCGGCTGCTTATAGCCCCGATTTGTTATAAGCTCAACTTGTATTTAACTGTTTTCGTTGAAACACAATAGCCCAAACGTTTTTTTCAATATTTCACCTTTCAGTTTTATAACACAATTTGTTATTTTAGTTAGGCGAAACAATGCATTTCGTACTTTTAAGAATTTTGTATAGAAATTGTTAATAAAAAAAAAACAACATTTTGGTACAAACGAAAAGTAATTAATTAAATATAAATTAAACATTATTTAAAATTGTAAGTCGGCTTTTGCCTGATAGATGTCTCTTGTGAATAATTATGGCGCTGCCGCCGTCTAGTGCAATTCTATAAATAATACTGAGTACAGTTACTGGCTACAAAAACTCACAAGATGCCGTTAAATAACGAATAGCCTTGCCGCTAGATGCTGTCAACCAATTCGCCGGGTTGATAACATGGCTAATCTGCTGGCAAGTGTTCTCAGTATTATTGGAACATCCACAAGATGGCGTTAATTTTTCCCTTACGAGTGCTGCCAAACCAGTTAAAAAAGAAGTTTCATAAAATATACGCAGTTCCAAAAAATAAATCGGTTATTTAAAATGTTAGCACTTCAAGCATTTATTACGCTTTATATTTTTATTAGTTTTTTTTTTAGGTATTTACATTTTAACCGGCTCCCTAATAAGTCGATTTGGCCAAACAACGAAACTAGATCATTAAAAACAAACGGTTTGCATTTCATTACCGATCAGGTTTAGCCCGTGCCACGTACCTAATGAAGATGAAAGCGTTACGAAAATCAAGACGTTTGCAGGTAAATGCTTGATTGTGTGTTATAAATTGTTTACTTCTTAAAATTGAGCCATTAACACAATCGCAATTGCGGCACACTCAATGTGCCTGGTATCAGTAGTCAACGAGGCTTAGCCGCTAATTGAATAGGCAAAAGCCCGCAGCATTGCAATATTTCTATTTGTTATTGTTTGCTCAACTCGTCTTTATGCAAATCAGGTGGAAGATGTTTGAGATTTAGCGCTGAGTGGAGCAACGGAACAAGTTTAGGCTCACATTGGCGCCGGCTTTGTTTTACGTTCGAGTTCAGGCCACGGCCTAAACTGAATTGCTTAAAGTGTTCAACTGGCATTTATTTGATTTTACTTTTTTATATTGAATTCCAGCCATGCAACAGGTGCACTTTTTTACAGGTGCCATACATTTGCTGATAAAGGCCAAAAATGTGTGTTGGGCAAAAAGCGTATGCAGATTTTAAGAGCAACACGGCCAATCTGCAGACAAGTACGTATACATAATTAAGCAGCGCGTGTGAAAAAATGCACAATAACCAATCCGAGGCCAGTGGCTATTAAACAGATTACATGTCGGCGCTAAGAGCCGTTTAAGCCCGTCGACAGCCACGATAACAACACCAGCTGGAAGTGCAATGCGACAGCAGCGGGGCGGAGCCAACAAGAGCAGCAATAACAACGTGCCCAGACAAACAGATGAATGCTCAGGCATGCGGCTGCCAAACATGGAAAGAGGGATAGAGGGAAAGGGGGATGCACTGCAGCTTGTTCGGTCTGCCTGCTGGTTTGTGAGTACTCTGGCCAGGGCCCACATGCGAGCCGCTGGTGCTTGTGTAAACGATTGGCAGCCGGCAAACAAACCGTAGGCCGACACAGGCACCGGCTCAAAGATGACAACGGGCGCGTTGCGTGGCGACTGCCTCTGCAGCAAGCAAAACAAAAACAAGCTTTGGTCAAGGATGTCCGACTAGGAGGTACCGTGTGCTCAAGCTTGTGCTGCCTCAACAAACGTTCGTATTTGCTTTTATACTCAAACACGCACATTCCTACTATTTGTGAGATAAGCGTCGGTGAAAATCGATATTTATCGATAAAGGGGGAATTGCAAAGTGCTACAACAATCAATTGACTAACTGATATGCCAAATATGGTGCTCTGAGATCGACGAAAGATTGATCGATTTGTCTGTCGATGCTCGCTAGGAAAAAATATTATCGAACTGAAGAAGTCTCCTTCTGCCTTTTGCATGCATCTGGCTAAATGCAATATGCCCATTTTATGCACTTTATTTGGGTACAGGGTATTATAACGCGGGCCCACGATAAGAGGAGCGCTCTTAAAAATAAAGTTTGCCAGCTATGCGTATACGTAATGTCGTGTTGATAACGCGTGCAAAAAACACACACACACACTCACACTCATCCTTACAAACACAGAAATACAGGCGAGCATAAGGACACTCGATTGCAGTGGCCGGCAATGTTACGCATACGCCACGTGTGACGCTGACGTTGCTGCTGGCGTCAGCGCCGAAGCCGGCGTCATTTGCCGGCATAAGCTCACGTTCACTCGCTCTCTCCTTCTCTGTGGCTCTCTCTCTTTCGCTCTTATGGCGCCGGCTGCCGTCAACAACTTGTATGAATGTGTTTTCTATTATCCAGCTTTTTTGCTGTTTAACGCCAGGGTCTAAACGTGGGCCTACTACCATTAGTCCCACAACCCCCACCGCTATCTACTGCACCCTTAGCCCCCTTTCTTTGTTTTTGCAATTTGTATCAACCGCTTTTCAAATTATTTATAGAATTTTAAATGAAGCCCAGGTGCGCCGGCTATAAAATATACAAACATGTATGTTAGTTGGATAGATATGTTATAGTTGTTGTTTACCTCGAAAATTATGCTCAGTTTTATTACTTGCCAGTTTCGTATGAATATTTAAAGCAACATGCGAGGCACCTGTGGGATCTCTCAACTGGTCACACTGTGCTACATCCCTTCCCTCCCCTCTCTCTAAGTTCAACTCATTTCATTTTAGTTACTGTATGTAAGTTGTTTTTGTGACGTTATCGGAACGGAACTAGTCTTTAACGAATTTTAACGACTCGTAAAATTCTGCAAAACTATTCTCTATAATCAGACATAAACATATTTTCATATGTACATATGTATATTTATATATATATATATATATATATATATATATTTATAAGACTACTAGTATTGTATACTTTCTGCCGCTATGTAGTCGAGAACAGTCGCTGGCGTCAACAGCAAAGCCAACGTCTGCGTTGGCGTCAGCGTCGACGTTCGCTGCTGCTTCACGTTTGGCCTGGCCGACGCTGGCGCTTGCTGACTCTGCCGCGTCAGTCTTTCTTGTGACGTTCAGCCGGCTGGTCGCTTCGTAGGCGGACATACGACACACGCGAATTTTGTGCCAACGGCTTTTACGCGTGCGTTCCTTATTTTTTGTGTCTCTTTGTCTGGTCCCACAGTTTGCGTTGTAAATACGAACGTAGCAAAAAATACAATAATGCAAAATGTCTTCATTTTCGTTTTCGTTTGAATAGTTGCAATGTGTGTGTGTGTGTGTTATATCTTGCCGGTTGTTGCTGGTTATGTGCACTTGTCCGTTAGTCTGCTCTAGTTTACTTTGTGTTTTGATTCCGCGCTTCTCTTTATCTCTTTATTTTCGCATTTTCCTTTTTCAATTGTCGCATCTTTGTTTTAACTTCAACTGCCGTTGTTTTATAAAAATCTTTTGTTTTAGTTCGACAATAAAATGCATAATTTATATGCGCCACACCGATGGGCCACTGTCAATGCCATTTCCGTGGACTGTTCCATTGTGGTGGCTTAACGATCGCTAAACACTGACCGCAATGTGTGTGAGTGTGTGTGTATGTGTCAAGTGTCGCGTCGCGTTTCCCTGAGTGAAATATTTCAAGGCCATTGAAGCTATTTTCCATTCATAATTTAAATCGATTTGCAGCTGCGTCTGCCATGTGAAGTGAACTAAAGCCCTTTGATAAAGCAAAATTATCTAAATAATAAAGAGATAAAATTGATAAAAATAAGTTCATGAAATTAAGCCCCTAAATAAAGTCAACACAGACACTGTCAACGTCAACTTCAAGTCAACGTCAACGTCAGCCACATCCGTATCCGTATCCGTGTCTTCTCAAGACGCCTGACAACGGTACGGAATCGGAAGCTGTTGCCCAGAATTATGCAGCATTAGGCACGGCGCGACAGAGTCCGAAATATTCACAAGTAGCCGCTGGCAAGGTTAAAGCAATACGCAAACATTTATATATCGGAGCTGAGGTAAGTCAATTGATCGTCTATTTTTATAGATTACCTTTAAAAGCAATTTGTGCTCATAAATGAATTACGCAAGAATACAAACACTTGAAGTCAGTTCCCAAAACGCGTTCAGGCTGCCCGCTGATTGCCATTTATTTGGCTCTATTGCTTATTGGCCAAATCTTTGTCATTGGCCATCGATAATTGTTATTTGCCTACTAAATACTGAGCGCAGATTTTATAGTCTTTACTTAAGCATATTTTTAAATATGTACATGGCAGCAGCTGCAGCAGCTTGTGCTGATTTCGCACGCTCCTATCAATTCATTCATTCATTCATGGGCCAAAGAGTGTGGATGTGTGGTTGGGAGGGAGAGGGAATGGCAACAGCAGAGAAGAGACAAAGACAAACAAAATACTATGAGCCGTGAGGAAACGGCGACAACGAGCTGCAAATAAATTATGCATATTTGCGCGGCTTATTTAAGAGTACATATTTACATACGAAATCCACTGCCGATACAACTCTTGTATACCCTGTATCAATTCGTCAAGTTTGCTCGCCACACAAATTACAGCTGTATAAAATATACTTACATAACATAATGATATATGCATTAAATCATTGACTGACAGAGATTTATGCAATTAAGGCGTTATCAACTTGTCGGTTCATTATTCATCATTCATCTGCTCAGATTGTTTGACCAGTATGTCAATCGCATTTAATATAAAGCGCTTCTTGAATTTCCTGAAAATGAAGTGATTGACTGGGTATCTAAGTGTACATAGCTTATACCCCTTGTTTTGCATGTCTGTATAAAAGGGCATCAGGGTACAAGCGTATCGGATGCAAGCGCGACGGATGCTCGTAACTGTGATTTTACGAAATCTAAAACGATTTACAATATACACAGCTGCACATACATATATATTTGTATACGGATATCTTTGAATGTGCCGATTGCTGGGTTTCACTTGGATTTATACTCTTTTTCTTTTAAATTTTAATAGTTCGCACCTTGCTTCATCAATTTGATTGATTTATTAAACGTACTAAATGCTGTCAATAATACCAAAAGCAACTTGTTATTAGTTTACGAAGCCCAAGTGTCATGCACAAATTTATTGATTCACAATAATTGCTCACTTCAGCTCTGAAACACGCACACACACACACACACACACATTCACACGCCTTTTTTATGGTTGTCTCGTTTTACGGCCGAAACGGTAATAAGTCTAGGCACAATCTTGTTTAACACATTGTACTTGAGAGAAGAAAAAAGAAGCCGAATATAATATACCCTGGCAGGAATACATATTTTAGATATGCAATTTATTTAAATTGTTACTTAGCCAATCATAAAATTGTTCCTTAACGGGTTAAATAATACGTCAGCTGCTTTATATAAGTCTTTATTGTCAGTTGTATGAGATAATGGTCTAATCTGTTTGACTCCGCCGTATTGACAACTTTAATATTAAGAGACTGACTAGCTTGCTTAGAAATAGTCAGATGGATATGTCTATAACATCTTAGCACGTCCTGATCAGGAACAGGTATATATATTAAAAATGAACCGATTTGGCATCTAAACACCTTATTGCTGTCAGTATATCCCCAGATTGATTTAACATTTCAATTGTGGTTGATTGTGGGAATAATTTTGTTTTGTAAATTTGTATTTTGTGCTTAAGCAACTATGTATTTGCCCTTTTCAATATTCGCACACCTGCTAAACAACTTGCCGTGTAGTTAAATTTGTAATGCGGGTTTCGGTTTACTTATTTTAATTAAAAACGATTCTCTTGCTTCCTTTTTGTGCAGAAGCTGGGGATGGGGCAGGGACTGGGGCAGTGACAGGGGCAGGGGCTGGGGCAGGGGCCCTGCCAAAGCGGGACAACTTTGAAAAATGTTGGTTAAACATTTGTGACTCCTGCATATATATTTGTGTTTTTGTGACATGCATAACAATTTGGGCCATTGTTGTTGTTGTTGTTGTTATTTCGCCTAATTCTCTGGAAGCCAGCAGCATTTGTAAAACAAACGTACTTTGATGTACGACACATAAAACATCTGTATGTTGCGATGTTTCAAAGGGAACAGCGACGACTAAATTAGTTGTTGGTTGTGTTAGGAGTGTGCCCGGGGTATGCGGTAGCTCCTCTATAGAAACGGAACTTGTACACATAAACTTTATGCGAATTCGAGGGGTGATACGACCCGAACCTGAGGTTCGTCTTGGGTCTAGCGTGGGCTACGTCAGCTAGTTGATAAAGAAATATTAATCAACAACAAGGAGATGCTGCGCACTATAACTACATTTAGAATTTGTGACTCACCTAGAGCTACGCTGAACTGAGCAACTCATAGTCCATTGAAAGTGAAAATATACAATTATAATTTACATTCAAATTGCTGCGATCTCTTCGCATGCAATTTGCCTCCAATGACACTTGGCTAAATGCTGTCACGCCCCGCGGCCGGGACATGGGAAGTGCTGACTCAGCCGAAAGTGACGACAGGCGGGCAAACAACAACAACAGCAATAATAATAACAAGAACAAGAATATGTTGTAATAGACACATAGAACTCGACAAGCTTCCAATTGGGTCAGTTCTGAATGGGCTGCGGCTGGGAGTCGCACTTGCGAAATATTTAAATGAGGAACATGCGCGTGGCCAACGGCTGAGCAAATTGGACAACTTGTTGCTTGACTTTGACTAACGCGCGTTCACAATTCCAATTGACTACGACTACACAAAATGCCAGCCAATGATCCACAGACACTCCACCCCAACAGTCTGTCCCCGCAACCCAAACCAAGCTCTCCTCCCCTCTGCTAATGCAATCAATATGCACGATGTTGGCTTCTCCATCCAGTGACCAGTCGGACGGGCGAAATCTGGTAGCAGGGGGCGGTGCCAATAATTTGCAGGCTCAGCATTAAAAGTGCCTCTGTAATGTATGGCAAAATATGATACGAAGTGCATTACAGAATAACAGGTTTGATGAATCAACAAACCAAACTAGCCCAGAGCACTCAGAGAAAGACGTGCCCCGACATTGTTTACATAAACATATTTAAATATATTATGCACATAATCGTGGAGAAAGATTTAGTTTCGGTATCGGTATTATGCAAATGCGATAACGCGTGAGTTATTTTCTTGGGGGCGTACAGGGTTTTTGATTGGGCTCTACATCTATAGGCCAAGTATTAGCTGCATATTTGGCTAATAACTATTTCGCTTTCCCACGATAAGTTGGGAATCTAGCAGCTGATAAAGTAGTTAGGGCTGAATACTTAATGTTTGCATTTCCCTAACAAGAAATATAAATATGAAAAGTATAAATTTAAAATACAAAATTTAATGGGTTTCACTTGTCAAATACATTGTGCTACATTTATTTCGACTTTAACTAGTTTATGTTAAACACATGTGGGAATTAAAATGAAATAGGCCCTGTCTAAATGAGTTACAATACGAAACAGACTTGGAACGGCATTCCTTCATGGGTTGACCTTCATGATAAAAGCGAATGCGAATGCGAATGCTCATTTTCATCATCCTCCATGCCCATTCCTGCCTCTCAGGTCAATGTACATGCGCGCATCATAATGGAACACATATGCATGTGGACTTGCTAGTGTGTTGCAGGGGCATCATATTTTGTAAATAACTGAACATTTGCGCACGAATCGAACACATTTTTGTTGTTGTTGTTGTTGTTGTTCTTGTTGTTTATGTTGCACTTGGCATTGCACCCTGTTGCCCACGCACATTGAGTGCCTCTTTGTTGCGGCCCGAACAATGGGCATTGTCTCAGGCTGGGGATATGAATACCCAATGACCACATAAAGCATTGACAGCAATAAAACAAAATGAGCATCAGAACAACGCGGTATTTTATTTAGATTCATTTATAATTTTCAGTTGATTCGCATTTATTAAAAAAAATACAAAATCGTTAGCTTTGTAGTCTAATAGTCAATTTGCTGGTCTGTCAGCTGTCGCTCGAGTGTCTTTTAATTGCCCTTGCGAAAGTCTTAATAACAGATATTTAATGTATTCATAACGCTTAGCGTCGTCACCTGTGCAGGACTGGCCCGCCCACCGTTCAATAAGCTAATTGTTGCGACTGAACCGTTTAAAAGAGTCGGCCAAAATCAAAGCCCGAGTCAGAGACAGACCAATAGCAAACCCGATCAGGCCAGTGCAATTTTATTTCGGCGCTTATCTGGCCAGCTGAATCGCAAGACAATTAGCCAAATGAGTTGGCATCGATTTGGACCGGCTCTGGACATTGGCCAGGCAGCACCCGTGCCAAAGCTTAATTAATTGTCATGCATTGTTCGCGTTTCGTCTGGCGCCGTTGATTTGGCGGCATTCCAACTTGGCGCACAGATCGGCGCGATTTGATGGCGATTGATAAGGCTGTGTGTAAAGTCGGTAGCTGCATGCGAAAACGTATTGGAGTTGACTTTTTAAATGCGAGCCGAATGTTCCAATACCACATTTCTGTTGATTTAGAGATTTTGTGTAAATTGTCATAAATCTTTGCATGAGTTTTAATGTTGCAATGCGTCCATTGAAAATATGCGGTCTGACTTGCGGCTCAGCTGCTGGCGATTGTGGTTGTCCTCCAGCTGTTTGGATTGCTAACTATGTTGCCAGCCAGCCCGAAAGCCAGCCAGTTGCAATTTATGCGAGTTATGCAAACTCATTTATTGGACATCAATTTGACGTAATGGGAATTAGTATATACATATATATACAATTTGTGGACTAAACTTGTTTATCTGCGCAGAGGGACTGTATTTATATTGTCGGCGAGTCATTAAAGTCGAGTTATCAAACTCGTAAAATGGGCAATGAATCACTTGCAGAGTCTGACAAAATGATGTTGTTTGACTTAGTTGAAATTCGATAGACATTATAGCTTCAGGACAGATGCCAGTTGGCTGTCAAAATGTATGTCATTGGCAAAGGGAGACACTTTCAACAATATAAA